ATTCAATGTGGATGTTGGTGGCCAGCTGATAGTTGGTGGTTCGATAGTTGGTGTTGGTTAAATAAAGGTGTTTTTTCTTAATGTTTTGTACAGTGTATAATGGGTAGTTAAAACGATTTGGCGTAACCTCGTTAGACCCTACAATATCATCACCTGTGTCCTTGTGGGTATTTTGACTGTAGTGCGCAATAGATTGGTCTGGTGTTTTACTGCTATGTGAGACAATGGTGTTGGTATCCATCAAGGGGATACACATTCTATACAAGGTAACTATGGTTTGCTCTTCGGTTGTGCTGTCCAACGCGGGGACATGATTGTGAAGTGATGTATTTGTGTGGTCCTGGAAGACCGAGGCCAACGCGGGAACACGATTGTGAAGTGATGTATTTGTTTGGTCCTGGGAGACCAAGTCCAACGCAGAGACAAAATTTTTATGAGGGGGATAATACAATTGAGGTATCGGTGATGGTACTTCTGAGATCGTGATTAATGTAACTAACACGACTATTTTGTATATTGGTACATTGTTGTCATTCCTTTGGTTTGTGTAGGCAGTGCTTGGCTGAATGTGTGGCCTTGACTTTGCGTATGAACAAACATGGGCGGCAAATATGGTACTCTGTCTCACCAGCCTGGTTTTGATGATCACTTCCATGCCTGCACTGCCCCTTTTGGAAATTGCCACAGTAGCGTGTCTGATCTCTTATGCTGCTAGTCTGCCAAGTAAAAAGACATCTTGCCTTAATATGCGAAAAGTCACCGTTCCATCCTTGTAAACCTTTCTCTATTTCCTTCAGTACTTCGGCATGGTAACTGCGGACTTTGCTCAAGTATACAACTCACACAAGTGCAGTAAGTCAGTAAGGTGGCTGGCTCTTAGCTGCTTGTGTTGTTCAGGCTCTTGGTGAAAGATGATGTAAATTTCGCCCCTGGTCAATGCTGGGAGGGTCAGTTGGTTGTATGACAACTCATACGTATTTCAACCATGTGTAGCCAGTTTACTTGTAAACTC